GGCCGGTGACATATGGAGTGCCTCTAGCATTCCTAGACAGGAACAAAGCTCAGCGTACGGGATATTCAGCCTGTGAGGCCTGTGAGGCGTTCGTCATGGGCGAAGGATCTGCTTTTACCCAGGCTTGTAGGTTTCGGTTGGTTCTTCACATTGTGATGTTCGTCGCTCACTTGTCGTGCTCCTGCAGATTGGAAAACTTGAGAGCGTAAAAATCTATCAATACCAACCAGTTACCATAATCAATGTGGCCCGTATGTATTTCGAGTTTTTGTGTAGATCTGCGGCTAGTTTATAGGGTTAGGCTTTTTGTGTAAGATAATTCATCGATTCAGAAACTCCTCAATTGTCGAAAACAGCGGTAAGTAGACAATCCATCAAGCATTTGCCATTCCTTTACAACAAATTCATTCGAGCGACGAAAGCTGAGCTAGGAGCGACCTAGAGCCTTCTATCGCGACGGCTGAGTGGATGATTATTGGCTGTTGCTGAGTCTTCATCGACCATTCGAAGTGTGGAAATATTCGATGGCATCGAAGACCTTGTACAAACACTCTCACGATTCTTTATCTCATCCCATCACATTGAGGACGTCGTTCGCATACGACTTTCGACTCATATTGTCCCGACAGACTGAACACCGGTGAACTCAGTGAAAGCCCTGAAATGACGTTTTCATCGTCGCGAATTGAAACCTACAAGCAAAATAAACCCTACGCTAGCATCTTTCTCTCCATACTTTTATGTTATCTACCATCTTTTTCAGCTTCTCATTTTCCAGCTTCTCATAAAGTCTGTTGGCTCTGGAGCATAGATCTTGCATATCCACTGAAGGAAGCTTAGGCACTACAGTATCATGCTCTCGATCTGGAATTCCCAGAGAGCCTATCACTTTATCACTGCAGCTTGCTAGTTCCTGTTGAAGGCCATAGCCATGGAATGAAAAACCCGGGTCGGATCTCCAGCATGACAGGATCGTGTCTTCAGACTCGGCTTGAGGCTGCCTCCAATACCTTTGTTTTGTTTTTGGATCCTGAAAACGGAATCACTAGGTATTAGGTGTAGCCACCAAGCGATATTAGCACTCACCATTGTTTTGGAATGGATCAAAACTTCTCCCCGGGACTCATCCAAGGTGAACTCTGCTAATTCAACGGCAAGTGTACAAAGGTCCAATGTTGTTTTCAAACTGACATTGGATGTTTGCCATGCATCCACAGGGTCTAGTATGCTAACGTTTTCAGTACCCCTGAAGCCAACAATGCAGATGTAGTGAGTGACTGCATCGTAGTGGGCATCTATGGCAGCATGGCGTCCATTGGACATCGGAGAGGCAATGGGAAGATGTATCGGTTGTAAGCCATTGGAGGTTCTTGGTGAGGGCTCCAACTCAGATGACAGTAGCTCTTTGGATTTCTGACGTTCCAACAATTTTGGACGATCAGCCTAGATGATAAATGTCCATTGCTTTCATGGACCCAGCTGTAAGTTGTCACACTTACCTTGAAGCTGCTACTTATTGCGCACGGATCCATTATGGTAGTGTCGAGTTGAGGAATAGTGTCGAGTTGAGGAGCAGTTTCGAGTTGAGGAATGAGGAGGTTCAGTGGTAAGGTCGAATGTAAGGCTTGCCACATTTTCGCCACAGTTTCTTATCTTTTATATACCCTCCTGAATTGGCATTCAATTAATAAGGTGACTGGGTTCCTCGGGAATCTTTCTTTTGAGTGATTTGTTTAAACAACACCTATACGACCCACAATCCCTAGTTTCTCGTTACATAACTAACAGTGCGAATTAACACATGCATAGATTGTTTTGGGATGGCTTCAATGAATATTGTTCCCAATATACGGACCAGCATGAACAGCCTGGACATAGTACATGGAATGCTGCGTCCAAGTTGGAAAGTACCTTGACCTTTCGCACAAAGTCGCCTTCTTGGTAGCACTAGCTACGCTGTCGAAATTTCTGGCGATGTATTTGGTATTCCTAGTGAAATTTTGGATGGTCACCGCTGTCCGATTCATGATCACTCGCTCTTTGTCCAAGTTACACATGACGCTTTCAGAAGGCTTTTGACTGATTCGACTTCACCACATTGGCTCTCATCTTTTTATCGTGAACCCATAGTGAGTGGCAAATGAGGTTCTATTATATGTAATACAATGCGACTTGGTTGTGAGTTACTAAAGGTACAAGGAATTAGAAATATTGCAAAGTAAAGTCCAAATATTATCCAGAATAACTAAGAGAATAAAAGTTATTTCTTACGCCTCGACTTCCGACCAATCACTTCCGGCATCCTCCAAGTCTAGTTCTGACTGCTTGAAAGGGATATCGTCCGCCGCGGTATCTTCTTTAGAGAGTAAGAACGTGTCAACAAGGACTTCAGCCTCAGATTCTTGGCTTGAATTTGAATGACCATCTTCCGACGCCTGGAGCTGTTCGACATCCGACTCTAGTTTGTCGCCTGGAATTGATGGAAGTTCCGAAGGACGAATGGTATCCACGGACGCATCTGAGTAGACAGATCGGTAGGATTCTTCGGGAACCTGAGATTGAGATGACGAGGATAGAGATGAAGACAAAGACACGGTTGAAACTTCAGGCTCTATGGAAGCGGAAGTTGCTTCAACCTCTGTCTCGGTGCCGGAAACAGAGTCATTCTCCGTTTGTGGAAGCGGCTCGACGACGGATACTTCGGTGCTGAAGACATTGAGTTCCTCCGTGTGTTCTTCACCTTGAGCGTTGGAGTCCGAAAAGGCTGCATCAGTGCTTTCGGCTACTTCAGTGGCCGGAGAAGCGTCGGACTCAGGAGTAGTAAAAGGTTTGGGGTCTGCAGAAGCACCGGTTTGATGCTTAGCGACCTCCGCGTATGAAGGGCGTTGAGGCAAGGTCTCTGTGGATTCTTCGAGAGTCGAATCAGACGCAGATATTGTTTCGACAGTAGCATCGGAGGCGCGTTGTGCGGTAGCGACCTCGGGTTGTGATGTGGCAGTAAAGTCGTCCTGAGCAGATGTTACTTGTCGTTCCTGCATTGGTGCTTCTGTATCTTCGCCCTTCTTCTCAGCCTCTTCTTCCCTTTCGACTCGATGATCCCTAGTCCTCTTGTTCCACCTAGCCTCCACCTTCTGCTCCAATTCCTCCAAAGCCCCTTCAACGCGAGCTACAACAGCCTTTCGACTGTTCCGCACATCGGCATTCCCATGGCTCTCAATTTCGTCGAGTTGAACAAGCAGCCTCGAAAGAGCTTGCTCGTAAGATCGAATAGGATGATTACGAGCGGTGTAAGCTAGCTTTCTGAGGGTCGGTGTGTCAAATTCGGATGTGTAGGAGACATCGTCGCGAACAGGAGATGAGGATCTCGAAGGAGCAGGGGAGAAATCAACGTCGGAGGGGAATTCAAATTCGTCTTGGAGTGCGACAAGGGAAGCTTCAATGGCCCTGACGCTTTCGAGAGCCTTGTGAGCGTCGCCGGAGATGGGTGTAAGATTGGGCTGGGGCTCAGGAGCCTTCCCTTTGCCTTTGCTGTTGTTATTGGGGGAGGTCTCAGAAGCAGAAGGAGGCGTTGGTGAGGCAGTGGGGTTGGATAGAGAAGCGAGAATGGCTTGGATAGTGTCCTTGATCTCGTTGGATTGGTCATTATTCAGACGAGCTTCAAGTTGTTCCTTCAGAGACAGAGCAGAAACCGGACGAGAATCAGAGCCGGATACTGGATGAGGTTCTGTAATTTCAATGGTTTTGGGCTTCTCCTGCAAAGCAATATTACTGAGTACTATGATTCGATTAACTGTAAAGAGGGGACAAACCTGAGCTACAGGCTTGGACGGAGATGCTACCTTCTCAGGTACGGTGTTAGAAATATGAGGTTGAGGGTTGAACATAAGGCGAAGAACTTCCTCCAAGTTTCGAGGAGACGCAACGGCTTCGCGAGGGGCAGGAGAGGGAGCCTTTGTCTGAGGTTCTTCCCTGACAGGCTTCGGGGTCTGCTCCCTGACAGGCTTCCCGTCGCGCAGTTGTTTGACAAAGTCCGTGAGCAATTGTTCCAGGGTCTGAGGCTCGGACTTGACGTCAGAGCTAGATCGTCGAACGATGTGTGGCCTCTGTTGAAGATTGTTAAGCACATATAAACACTCATGGATTATTTGTAAACATACCTGGTGTTGAGCTTGAGGCCCAAAGAGTTGGCAAAGCTGAGTGTCGTCCGAGTTATCTTGAAGATAACAAGGTAAACCCTGAACACACCATAAGTCTCCTGAAAAAGTAAACAATAACATGGTCATACATACCTTCCTCGATCGGTTGTGTCGAGCAGCGTTCGCTTGCTCGGATTCACGTTGAAGAGCAGCTACACGAGCTTCTTCCTGTTCACGTAAGCGAGCAAGTTGCTGAAGCTTGAGCTCTTCTTCAGCCCTCTTCAGAGCAAGGAGCCGAGCTTCTTCCTCTTGCTTGCGACGAAGGTACTCGAGCTCGAACTGTTGCTGTTGCTGTCGACGACGGAAAGCGGCAGATCGTTCAAGCTCATCGTCTTCTAGATAGCTAGAGTGATAAGGAGTATAACTATCATAAGGGAAATGGCGACGGAAGCGATCTTGCTGTTTCTGGAATCGGATTTCCTCCAGACGGCGAAGAAGTTCTTCCTCTTCTCGCTGAGCTTCAGCAGCCCTGAGCTGTTCAGCAAAAGGGCTCGCATATGTCGGACGAGAGTATTGAGGTCGTGAGTAGCCCAGATCAGTGGGCAGAGCTGAGATATATGCAGGCTGATAGCGATACATGTTTAGTAGTAGTTGAGATTGAGAGATATTGATAAAGATACAAGGCGCAGTACCACATAGCTTTTATACTTTGTCGGAGCATGAGATGAGTAATTAAACAATGAACGCGCGTATATGCGACGCGCGTCGGTAACTTTCGAGACGTGTAGAGAACTTTCTAGATGGCGCATACCATTCCGGGCCTGCTTACAAAGATTACTAATACAGAGTTCGCATCACTATTAGCCGACCTTAGCTTAGCTGGAAGAGCATAAGACTGTAATAGGTTGCATTCATCTTGGGGTCGCCTGTTCGAGTCAGGCAGGTCGGATCTTTTTACGATGAGCATCGCATCACCAAGGGCACTTGAGGCTGTCAACTAAATTCTCATTCGACAGGTTGACCAGAAAAGGATTCGAGCTCGAGAAATTTTACTGCTTGATTTACACCACAAAAAGCCTAATCTCATAAACCAGCCGTAAATCCACACAGAAACCCGAAAATACATATAAGCCACATCAATTCAACTTCCCCAATCTGCAGGAGCACGACAAGTGAGCGATGAACATCACAATGCGCCAAACCTTTCCATGTACCACGTCCAGGCTGTTCGGGCTGTTCCATATAGAATAGACAATATTTATTGAAGCCATCCCAAGACAATCCATGCATGTGTTAATTCGCACTGTTAGTTACATATGTGATAAGAGACTAGGGATTGTGGGTCGTATAGATATTGTTTAAACAAATCACTCAAAAGAAAGATTCCCGAGGAACCCAGTCACCTTGTTAATTGAATATCAATCCAGGAGGGTATATAAAAGACAAGAAACTGTGGCGAAAATGTGGCAAGCCTTACATTCGACCTTACCACTGAACCTCCTCATTCCTCAACTCGACACTATTCCTCAACTCGACACTACCATAATGGATCCGTGCGCAATAAGTAGCAGTTTCAAGGTAAGTGTGACCACTTACAACTGCGTTCATGACAACGATGGACATTTATCATCTAGGCTGATCGTCCAAAGTTGTTGGAACGTCAGAAATCCAAAGAGCTACTGTCATCTGAGTTGGAGCCCTCACCGAGAACCTCCAATGCCTTACAACCGATACATCTTCCCATTGCCTCTCCGATGTCCAATGAGCGCAATGCCGCCATAGATGCCCACTATGATGCAGTCACTCACTACATCTGCAATGTTGGCTTCAGTGGTACTGAAAAGGTTAGCATGGACCCTGTGGATGCATGGCAAGCATCCAGTGTCAGTTTGAAAACAACATTAGACCTTTGTACACTTGCCGTTGAATTAGCAGAATCCACCTTGGATGAGTCCCGGAAAGAAGTTTTGATCCATTCCAAAATAATGGTGAGTGCTAATATCGCTTGGTGGCTACACCTAATACCTAATCATTTTGTTTTCAGGATCAAAAAACAAAAAACAGGTATTGGAGGCAGCCTCAAGCCGAGTCTGAAGACACAATCCTGTCGTGTTGGGAGTCAGACCCCGGTTTTTCATTCCATGGTTACGGCCTTGAACAGGATCTCGTACTAGCAAACCCCGGTAATAAAGTGATAGGCTCTTTCGGGATTCCAGATCAAGAGCATGATACCGTAGTGCCTAAGCTTCCTTCAGTGGATATGCAAGATCTATACCCCAGAGCCAACGGACTTTATGAGAAGCTGGAAAATGAGAAGCTGAGAAAGATGGTAGATAACATAAAAGTATGGAGAGAAAGATGCTTCATAGCGTAGATTTATTTCGCTTGTAGGTTTTGATTCGCGATTACGAATACATCATTTCAAGACTTTCGAGTTCACCAGTGTTGAGTCTGTCGGGACAATTTGAGTCGAAAGTCGCATGCGAACGACATCCTCGATGTGATGGGATGAGATAAAGAGTCGTGAGAGTACGTTAGTATTTGTACATCATTGGCAAGGTCTTCAATCTCGAACTCAAATTCCCATGGAATGTCTGTCGATGGGAGCTTAGCGATAGCCAATATTCATCCACTCACGCGTCGCGACAGAAGGGATTAGGCCGCTCCTAGTTTAACCTTCGTCGCTCGAATGAATTTGTTGTAGATGAATAGCAAATGCCTGATGATTGTCTACTGACGGCTGTTTTCGATGGTTGAGGACTTTCTTAATCGATGAATGATCTTAATTAACACCACGAAGAGCCTAACCCCATAAACCAACCCGTAAATCCACACAGAAACCCGAAAATACATACGAGCCACATTAATCATGGTTGGTATTGATAGATTTTGACACTTTGAACTTCCCAATCTGCAGGAGCACGACAAGTGAGCGACGAACATCACAATGTGAAGAACCAACCGAAACCTACAAGCCTGGGTAAAAGCAGATCCTTCGGCCATGACGAATGCCTCACAGGTTGAATATCCCGTACGCTGAGCGCAGCTTTGCTCCTGTCCAGGAATGCCAGAGGTAGTCCATACTTCACCAGCCCAGTCGCCACTGTTGTGTGATGAGTCCTCAACTGGAGTTCACGGTGAACATCAAGAGGAGAAACTTACCAGAAGGTAGTATCAAAGATGGCCGAGTGATCAGAAAAGAATGTGCTTGGATTACAACCACTTGAGGACCACTGGGCAAGAGGGGTTCCCCAGGCAGTGAGTGCCGGATTTGGAGTCCCGGCTAGAACATCGCTAGGTACTTGACCTGTAGGCCAGAAGTAGATGCTGACACCTGTGTCATCCAACTTACCTGCCACGTATACAGTAAGCATATATCACCTGTGATGTATACAAAGCATCACTCACTGGCATAAACTCCACCACCATTATTATTGAATGCTGCTCCGAAAGATACGTCAGACGACGAGCGAACACCACATCCCTGCGAAGGACCCACGATGAGTGATAATTTTATACAGAGATTGAATGGTTCAACCTGATTGCCCGTTTCTGCAGCTGCACAGTTGGTACCACCGACAACGGTGCCGGTGATACCAAGGACGGTAGAGTTGGATGAAGAGATTGTGCAGCCCGGGTTGGTATGGATAGTGGCTTGGTTGTTGGTATAGTCGTTTACGCCCTCGACTATATCTGAAAGTGATTTAAGGAAACCTGATGAGAACGAAGGAAACCGCAGTCCTCATACCTATTTCACCACCTGCTGGCCAATTTGGGCCTTGCGAAGCGCGGATGAGAATAAGAGAGAAACTCGGATACATATGTAGAGTGGACTAGAATCATACCGTTCGTCCAGAAAGCTCTGAGATACATTTGTCAGTACAATATTGTGATTCAACTGGCGTCAACTCACGGCCAAGTTCCACACCCAGTCGGCATATGCAGTGCATCCAATATCCATATTCCTTGACTGTATTGCGAGTTTGTCGTAATTCGTACACTCTTTCGATTTCCAGTTAGGTTGTTAGTGGTGTCCACGGCCATTACAGCATTTCCAGCAGAGTTCACATATGCTAGACCTGCGCTGGACTAGATTATGAGTGAGTTTTTCTGAAAGGACAAGTGCTGAGTACAGTGCGTACTGCGTCGTTTTCATCCAGATAATCAACAACACCTGGAAGTTACTTTCATCAACAGCCATACAAAGAGAGAAGTTGTGTTGATATACCATGCGTAGGATCGCTCCCGGTAAAAAAGGACCAGCCTTGAAAGAAATCGGATCCGTTCTAGGAAATGAATGCAGGGTGAGTTCAAGCAGTCCTGCATGCCATATCGCGACGACTGACATGTGCTTCTACTAATTTCCATGGCGTTGAGACTGCAGAGGCTGTAGAGCTTCCTGCAGCAGCGCTTTTCGTCGAGGTGCTTGTCCCTTGTGAGCTCGATCCGCTCGATCCGGAGCTACTATTGCCTTGTCCTCCACTACTACCCAGTCCACTGCTCCCAGGTGCGGCACTAGATTTACAATACACCGTCCTGCTATTATTTAACGATTGTTGGGTTGCCTCCGACACGAGGACTGCGCCAAAAGCTAAGCGTAAATCTCGAGCAATAACTTTCGTGTGCCTAGATGCTATCTGGTGGGTAGTGTGTATCGTTCTGGAGATGATGTTGCTTGAATGTATGCCGCGAGGGAGTGATGTGAGTTCCAGGAGGAAAAGAACGAGATGAATGGGTAAAGAGCGAAAAATCATGGGAGCGAATTGGTACGAGATGAAGAGGAGATGAGGTGAGCCGGTCGGTGGACGTTGTTGTTATATAAGAGAAAAACGTTGACGAGGCGTGGTTGATCAGGATTCGTGAGGTCTTGCCTCTGATTCTATGGAATTGACAAGCTGACGAGGTTGTAGTACAAGAGAGTTGAGGCTGTATTTAAAGTGGGAAGAAAACAAAAGAGTCTGCTCCATTGTTCACATTGATCCGGACGAGTAAACGTGATTAGAAATTGATTCACAGACCGACAACAGTATAAATGAGAGTCGAAAGAACGGAAGACGAAGGCGAAGAAGTGAAAGAAGAGACGACACCAAAACAGGACCGAAACGGTGACTATTCAAGCTGATGGCACTTGTAGGTCCAATGGTGCTCATACAAAATCATAATCATAATTACTTATGTACAGTGGACGTACGGAAGCGCATTGCGCTGAACGAGGACTGAGCAGCATCTAAACGAGATTGAATCGATAGCTCACAAACATTCACCAATCCCAAGGAATAGGAAGACAGACAGCACTAGTTGCGCGAATAAAACTAAACGAGTGAAAACTGTTCGAGCAAGATGAAGTAAAAAACTGTACGACTAAAGGGTTGACCACGCAATTTGCGGGGGAACATAATGATATACTGAGAGAAAGCAAAGAAGAAAACAAGAATGAACCCTAGTCGAACTCGCCAAGTATCATGTTCATCGATGTGAGCCCGGTGCGAAAGCTTCCCTCACACTGCGCCGGAGCTCCTCGTGATCTCGGGTTGAGCTGGTGGCAACCGAAGAACCAGGCTGCATATGCGAAGGGGTAAGACTGGAAGGAGCCATGGCATCCAAATCGCCATCCACGTATTCCAAAATTCTTCGTGACAATAGTTGGATTTCTCCTTGACCATCGTTTGTCTCGGTATCGTCATACGAGTGTGAGCGGTGGGAGCCGACTGAAGAAGAGGGAGTTGATGCTTGTGAAGTTGCAAGGTTGCGGATATTGGGGACAAGAAGGTTAGAACCTCGAATGTTGCTAATTAGTTGTGGGTCTATAGGAAATGTGAGACTACAGCGGTTGTTTATCGATACAGGAACTTACCACCGGAGTCAAGGAGCTGGACGATCGTCCATACGGCAATATGCTGGAAGGTAGCATCGGGACTGCTAAGGAAACGGTAAAGGTATTGGTGCATG